TGGCCGTGCCCCACGGCAATGACATCGCCTCCCTCTTCGAGCTGGACCCTACCACGCTGCAGAAGACGGACTCCTTTGTCCCACGGTATGTAAGCACACAGAAGGAGTGAAATAAAGAAGGGAGGCTTGGTCGCGTGGTGTGAAATTTTGGTGGGTCGGTTCTTACGGGGGTTGTGCGGGGTGCTGGGGCAAGTGGCAGGTGCTGGCGTGTCTCAGGGCAGGGGTCGCTCAGCAGGACACTGTGCCATTTGCAGGAACTCCTACGTGAGGCTGCGTCACCTCTGCACCAATACCTGGATCCAGAGCACCAACGTGCCCATCGACATCGACGAGGAGAGGCCCATTCGCCTCATGGTATGGCCCCCTCCCTCCTCCTGTGCGTGGATTTATCCCCTGTGCCCCAACAGCTCTTAGCGTGATCCTTCCCTGCCAGCACCCAGCCTTTACCCAGGGGCTGAAATACCGTGGTGATCCAAAGGGGTGGCTGGACACCAGCCTAGAGCCCATCCCAGTAATCTAGAGCCCATCCCAGTAACTTAGAGCCCACCTCAGTCCTTCTGACGGGACAAACTGGGTCACTGACTTCACCCAGGTTGGTGGCAGATGGTGGGGACACGCTTGGCATTGCCCTGTCTGTGTGATCCTGCTTCCTCATTACTTCCCAGTTGGGCACGTGCCCCACCAAAGAAGACAAAGAAGCCTTTGCCATCGTCTCGGTGCCCGTGTCTGAGATCCGGGACCTGGACTTTGCTAACGACGCCAGCTCGATGCTGGCCAACGTGGTGGAGAAGATGAACGAAGGTTTTCTCAGCCAGAATGACCGGAGGTAAAAAGTCATTTCCCCCAGGAGATGGAACTGTGCTGGGCTCCTCCAAGGGCTCTCCAGCATCGCTGCAGGATGGGGCCCCTGCCAGGGTCTTGGTGCCAGCGCTGTCTTGCTTTCCTGCCCGCAACCCAAATCCACGCCTGCTTCTCCCAGGAGTCTGGCGAGGAAACCAGATAACGCCGCAGCCCCGCTCCAGCCCCTCCTTTGCTGCTAGAAAAATATCCGAGGGGCTGAGAGATGGCCCCACGATAGGGGCGGCCGGGTTAGTCATGGTATTATTTTTAGGTGGGTGGGTTCTTGGTGCTTCCTGAGCAAACACAGATCTCTGTGGGACGGAGCGAGCTGCTTCCGCCCTGCCAGCCTGCCCCGTGCGGGTCCTGCAAAGGTGACTAAGGGGGCAGAGGCGCTAAATGCAAAGTCCCTGGCATGAATCATGAGCAAAGACCCCTGGCGCTTACCCTGACACATATAGTTTCCTTGGGAACCATAAGGGCTGTAAAACCTCTTGCTTCAGGGCAGCCAGTAACCTCTAGCGAGGAGGGGAGGATCAGCCAGCAGCTTCCCTGGCTGCCTTTTGAGCCCTGAACGTGGGCTTTTTGGTCCTCCAGAATGTGCCGGCATGGTTGCAGGGACCAGAGTCTGGGTGGGCTACGTGGGGTGGGTGAGCAGTCCCCCCATCGCACTTGCACCGTGCCCCTTTGCAGGTTCGTGATCCAGCTGCTGGAGGACTTGGTGTTTTTTGTCAGCGACGTCCCCAACAATGGCCAGAATGTGCTGGACATTGTGGTGACCAAGCCCAACCGGGAGCGGCAGAAGCTAATGCGGGAGCAGAACATCCTGAAGCAAGTGAGTAGCCCCTGGCCCCCTGCCTCTGAGCAAGGCTGAGGTCCTGTGGAGATGTCCTCTTCTGCCCAGGGCCACTCTGGAGGCCAGGGATCTGGAAAACCCCATGGAGGAGGTGTAGCTGGTGTCCAGCTCGTGCGTCACCGGTGCACCAAGCCCTCCTGGCAAGCACAGCTGGTGTGCGGCCACACGTTGGGGTGATGGTGTGGAGGGGGACACAGCACTTATCATCTCTGCTTTTGGGCAGATCTTTGGGATCCTGAAAGCCCCCTTCAAGGACAAGGGTGGGGAAGGGCCCCTGGTGCGGCTGGAAGAGCTGTCGGACCAGAAAAACGCTCCCTACCAGTACATGTTTCGGCTGTGCTACCGCGTGCTCCGGCACTCCCAGGAGGACTATCGCAAGAACCAGGTATATGGCGGGGTGACGGGAGGAGCCCCCATCCCACCACGTGTGGCAAAGCCCTGGGGGGGGCTGCCGAGCTCTCGGTGGGGCAGGGGGCATTGCCAGCCCCCTGTGCTCACCCCCTCTCTGCCCGCTCCAGGAGCACATCGCCAAGCAGTTCGGCATGATGCAATCCCAGATCGGTTACGACATCCTCGCTGAGGACACCATCACGGCTCTGCTGCACAACAACCGCAAGCTGCTGGAGAAACACATCACGAAGACCGAGGTGGAGACCTTTGTCAGCCTGGTGCGCAAGAACCGTGAGCCACGGTGCGTGTCTGGAAAGACCCCCGTCCCAAAAGGCTTTGTGCTGCGTGATGGGTGGGATGTGCCTCCACCAGAGGTGGAAAGAGTCCCCAGGGGACCCCCCTTTCACAGCGAGCTGTCTCTGCCCTGTAGGTTTTTGGACTACCTCTCGGACCTGTGTGTGTCCAACCACATTGCCATCCCCGTCACCCAGGAGCTGATTTGCAAATGCGTGCTGGACCCAAAGAACAGCGACATCCTCATCAAAACCGAGTGAGTAGCCAAGGGGAGAGGTTCTTCCATGTTTGGGGGTTGGTGCTTGGCCCTGCCTTCCACCAGCTCCTGCAGTGCCCTGGTAAAAGCCCCATCACCCCTTGAGGTGCAGCTGCTCCCCATTCACAGGAGCGTCTCCAGTTTTGCCCCTTTTCTGCCCTAGGCTGAGGCCAGTGAAGGAGATGTCCCAGACCCACGAGTACCTGAGCATCGAGTACTCGGAGGAGGAGGTCTGGCTTACCTGGACGGACAAGAACAACGACCACCATGAGAAAAGCATCCGGCAGCTGGCGCAGGAGGCCCGGGCTGGCAATGCCCATGACGAGAACGTCCTCAGCTACTACAGGTGATGATCCCACAGCATCTTCTCTCCAGGTGAGGGTGTAAGGGTTGCACGGCCTCACTCCCTCTCCCCCTCATCCCTGGGCAGGTACCAGCTGAAGCTCTTTGCCCGCATGTGCCTGGATCGCCAGTACTTGGCCATCAAAGAGATCTCCCAGCAGTTGGGTGTGGACCTGATCTTCCTCTGCATGGCAGATGAGATGCTGCCCTTCGATCTCCGGGCGTCCTTCTGCCACCTCATGTTGCACGTGCACGTGGACAGGGACCCCCAGGAGCTGGTGATGCCCGTGAAGTTTGCACGGCTCTGGACCGAGATCCCCACGGCCATCACGATCAAAGAGTGAGACATGCTGGGGCTCGCAGCGGCTTTGAGGGACAGAGCAGGAGGTGGGATGGAAAATGTCATACGGTGTAGGGACTGGCTTGGCTTTAGCAGGGACTGGGAGGGGGGCATCTGTGGAGTGAATTTGGCAGGTCTCAGCCTTCAGAAGGAAGCAGGCTCCGTCGCAGCCATGAGCATCGCTTCTGGCCATGATGGCTCAGCAGCTGCCTGAACAGTGCTTCTTCCAGGCTGGTTGTGAGGAGACTCGCTGCCATTCAGCTCACCCCCACCATCTCCCCTCACAGCTACGACTCCAACCTCAACGTCTCGCGGGACGACAAGAAGAACAAGTTTGCGAGCACCATGGAGTTCGTGGAGGACTACCTCAACAACGTGGTGAGCGAGGCGGTACCCTTCGCCAACGAGGAGAAGAACAAACTCACCTTCGAGGTGCGAGACCTGCCGATGTCACCGGCACGTTGCAGGATGCAGCATGGTTTGGCTGCAAATGCCTCTGCCACGAGGGTGGCCGTGCTGGCAGCCCTCTCCCCCCGTGTCTGTTTATCCTTCTCAACCTCGAACACGGTGAGGTCTGGAGTTGCCTTGTTCTTCCCTAGGTTGTCAGCCTTGCCCACAACCTCATCTACTTCGGCTTCTACAGCTTCAGTGAGCTGCTGCGCCTGACGCGGACACTGCTGGGCATCATCGACTGTGTCCAAAACCCCCAGCTGATGATGCAGGCAGTCTACAACGACGAGGTGACAGGTGAGTCCCTGCTCATTAACCAGGCGTGGTCCTGTGTGAAGGTGTTTTCCAGTTCTAGCTGTGAGAAAACAAGCCACTGGTTTGCTGACATGGAACCTTTGGCTGGGTCTGCACGGTGAGACGGGTGTTGAGCCCTTGACCATGTCAGAGAAATGTCCAGTCCCTCCTACTTGTTTTGGTTAATATCTTCAACGTTTTGCAGCCTCAGTGGGTCGTCCTGTTGGTCCTCTGCCACCTCCCTTTCCATTTGCATTAACTCTGCCCGCTGTGGCTGCCTCCTTAGGGAAGAATGTGCGGAGATCGATCCAGGGCGTTGGGCAGATGATGTCCACCATGGTGCTAAGCAGGAAACAGTCCATCTTCAGCCCTCCAAGCCTCAGTGCCGGGTCTGCCCCAGAACAAGTGGACAGAGGGAGGAGCATTGAGAACGAGAACATTGTGGTGATGGAGACAAAGCTGAAGATCCTGGAGATCTTGCAGGTTGGAGCCGGTGGGGAGGGAGAAGCATTGTGGAGCTCCGGGTGGGACCTGTGGGATGGGGTGGTGTGGGGAAGCCATGGTCTTCTGATGCAGAGAGACAGCTGGCATGAAGAGGGCACTCACTTTTGCTTTCTTCACTGCTGCCAGTTCATCCTGAACGTGCGGCTGGACTACAGGATCTCCTACCTGCTTTCCGTCTTCAAGAAGGAGTTTGTGGAAGTCTACCCCATGCAGGACAGTGCGGCCGATGGGACGGCTCCAGCCTTTGACTCCACAAGTAACTCTTCCACTTTGCTCCTGGTGCCCCTTCAACTCAGCCAACCCCACAGGCTGGGGACTCGCAGGTGGCGGAGGTGACGGCTCCAGCAGCTCTCCACCCGCCGCCGCTGCTGGCAGGGAGCATGGAGGGGACTGGAGTTTGTGCAGATGGGATGAGGTGTTCTGTGTCCATCGTTGGTGCTTGGAGCAGGGCCTAGGGAGCTGGGTTGGTTTCTGGGGGTTTCTGCCTGTGCACAGGGGTCACGTTGGCCGCCCCTTTCATCTCCCTTTCCTCTCCCTTCAGCTGCAGCCATGAACCTGGACCGGATTGGCGAGCACGCAGAAGCCATGTTTGGTGTGGGGTGAGTCCCTGCCCCCTCCAGTGCATAGTTAGCCTGGCCATAGGGCTCTTCCTCTCCTGTCCATACTGCCGAAGCTGAAAGCTGCAGGTGATGAGGAAGATGAGGCTCTAAAGGCTAATGCAGCTGTCCCCGTCAGCCCCGAGGGGTGACTGAGTGCACGCAAGCTCCCACGTGGCTGCTAACACCAAGCGCTTTCGTCCCGGCTTCAGGAAGACGAGCAGCATGTTAGAGGTGGATGACGAGGGAGGGAGGATGTTTCTGCGGGTGCTGATCCACCTGACGATGCACGACTACCCGCCGCTCATCTCCGGCTCCCTGCAGCTCCTCTTCAAGCACTTCAGCCAGAGGCAGGAGGTCTTGCACACCTTCAAACAGGTAACCCCGGTGGGATGCTGCTCTGGAGCACATCTAAGCACATGCTTGGCTGTGGGTGCAGGATGCGGGGTGGGTCCTGGCCCCTTTCCTTGGGAGGGAGGTCTGGAAGAGGAGGGGAATGGGGTTTGTGCCCCAAACTGGAACGCCCTGGGAATGCCGCTGCAGGTTCAGCTCCTGATCTCAGCCCAGGATGTCGAGAACTACAAGGTGATCAAGTCAGAGCTGGACAAACTCCGCACCATGGTGGAGAAATCGGAGCTCTGGGTGGACAAGAAGGGCAGCAGCAAAGGGGACAGCACGGTGGAGGGGAACAAGAAGGAGAAGAAAGAGGTGAGAGTCCTGAGCAAGGCCCCAGGTACCGGGGTGGGAGGAGGGGGGGGAGTGGAACAGAGGTACAGCTCGCTTCAGTCCAACACCTAACGCCTCTTGCTGGGCCATGCACCCCTCTTCCTGGAAGAGGAGGGTCATGGAGGGTCCTGTGGGGTGTAGTTATCCCCCAGGCTTTGGAGAGGTGCAGTGAGACCCTGGTGCTGTTTCTGTCCCCTTGTAGCATGCTGCCGACGAAGAGGTCATTGCTCCGGGAGAGAAGAGCAGTGAGAACTATCAGATAGTCAAGGGGGTAAGTGAGACTGAATCCTGTCCCCAGGGCCGTTCTGGAGGCACGGCCAGTGATGTCTGCCTGGCCTGGGCTGGCACCAGTGAGAAGGGAAAGGGTGAAATCATGGGGGGGGATTTCTAAGCTCTCCTGTGGTCCAGTAAAAACGAGTCCAAGGCAGGACTTGTTCCTGCCAGCTCAGTGCAAGGAGGAGCCATCTTATGTCCCCAGCGCTCGCAAATGAGCCTTGCACTGGGGGGACTGGAGGGGAGAAGGTTGGTGGTGGGTACGAGGTCTCTGCATGGCACTGCAAGGAGAATTTCTGAGGGGGGTGCCAAGATTTGTGAGCGATGGAGGGAGCACCTGGAGGGGGCACGTCTGGATTGCAAGCAAGCCCCGAGTGCTGGTGGCCATCCTGATGGGCTCCCAGGCTCAATTCCCCTCTGCCACGGTCCTTGTCTCCCCAGATCCTGGAGCGGCTGAATAAGATGTGCGGGGTCGGAGAGCAAGTGCGCAAGAAGCAGCAGCGCCTTCTGAAGAACATGGATGCCCACAAAGTGATGCTGGATCTGCTGCAGATCCCTTACGAGAAGGTGGGTGGGCAGAAGCTGCCCTGTCCCCCCCCCAGGGCAAGGCGTGGGGGATGCAGGGACCCCCCTTGCATGGCTGGGTCCTGCCTCTGGCCAGGGTAGGAGGGGCAGCAGCCTACTGCTGCTCTCCACCTCTCGCCAACTCTGGGTGTTTCTTTTCTCTGCCCCTCCTCAGGGTGATGCCAAGATGATGGAGATCCTGAAATTCACCCACCAGTTCCTGCAGAAGTTTTGTGCTGGCAATCAGGAAAACCAGGCCCTGCTGCACAAACACCTCAACCTGTTCCTCACCCCGGGGGTAAGGAGAGGGGACCGAAGGGCAGTCGCAGGCAGCAGCACAGGGAGAGGCTTCAGTACCGCTCCTGGGGCTGAGAGCAAGAGATGCAAAAGCTGGGAGGAGATCTCAGGAGAGGAAGGGTTAGGACAGGAGGGGAGGTTGTTCCTCACAGCCCCCCGGCCTCACTCTGCTCCCCTGGTCCCGCAGCTCCTGGAGGCTGAGACGATGCAGCACATCTTCCTCAACAACTACCAGCTCTGCTCAGAGATCAACGAGACGGTGCCGCAGCACTTCATCCACTGCGTCGCCACCCACGGCCGCCACGTGCAGTACCTCGACTTCCTGCACACCATCATCAAGGCCGAGGGCAAGTACGTCAAGAAGTGCCAGGACATGATCATGACCGAGGTGAGCACCTCTCCCCCCACCCTGTGGGGCAGGAGCGTGGGGTGTAGCAGGGCATGGGAGGTGCACGGATAGCTTCTTCCTTGAGGAAGAGCTTTCCTGGCCATGCTGGCTTCTCCCCAGAGTAGGAAACATCTCCAGGACCTTGATGCAAGGTCCAAGAGCCAATAACCGTTTTGTAGTCCCACAAGCTGTGATTTTTGATTGCACTGCAAATGCCTGGTTTTCCCTGTAAATGCACAGTCCTTTCACCATTCACTGCCTCGATGCAGAGGACACCATCCTCTGCCTTGCAAGGTTTCTGACCCTCCTTCTCCAGAGCAGTGACCACTGACCCTTCCCTGCAGCTCACCAACGCCGGGGACGATGTGGTGGTTTTCTACAATGACAAGGCTTCACTGGCCACCCTTCTGGAGATGATGACAGCAGCCCGGGATGGGGTGGAGGAGAACAGCCCACTGATGTACCACATCTCACTGGTGGACCTGCTGGCTGCCTGCGCCGAGGGCAAGAACGTCTACACAGAGATCAAGTGCACGTCCCTGCTGCCCTTGGAGGACGTGGTGCGGGTGGTGACACACGAGGATTGCATCACGGAGGTACGGGGTGCCCAGGGAGGAGGGTGCCCGTGGCCTTGCACTGATTGCCTTCTCCTGATGGTGCCTGTGCCCCCCTCGCCCTCCCTCCCCGGCAGGTGAAGATGGCCTACGTGAACTTCGTCAACCACTGCTACGTGGACACAGAG